CCTGTCCTGTCCTGTCCATACATCACTCCGGCCACACCATCCTGTCCTGTCCATACATCACTCCGGCCACACCATCCTGTCCTGTCCATACATCACTCCGGCCACACCATCCCCAGCCTGTCCTGTCCATACATCACTCCGGCCACACCATCCTGTCCTGTCCATACATCACTCCGGCCACACCAGCCTGTCCTGTCCATACACCACTCCGGCCACACCATCCCCAGCCTGTCCTGTCCATACATCACTCCGGCCACACCATCCTGTCCTGTCCATACATCACTCCGGCCACACCATCCTGTCCTGTCCATACATCACTCCGGCCACACCAGCCTGTCCTGTCCATACATCACACCGGCCACACCATCCCCAGCCTGTCCTGTCCATACATCACTCCGGCCACACCATCCTGTCCTGTCCATACATCACTCCGGCCACACCATCCTGTCCTGTCCTGTCCATACATCACTCCGGCCACACCATCCTGTCCTGTCCTGTCCATACATCACTCCGGCCACACCATCCTGTCCTGTCCATACACCACTCCGGCCACACCATCCTGTCCTGTCCATACATCACTCCGGCCACACCAGCCTGTCCTGTCCATACATCACTCCGGCCACACCATCCCCAGCCTGTCCTGTCCATACACCACTCCGGTCACACCCCCACCCTCCCCTGTCTATAAGGAACTATTTTCGTTGATCACTTCCTGGTCTGGCACCGGTGTTTACCCTGGCGGTCAGTGCCGGTCAGTGGTGGTCAGTGGTGTAACTGGACACTGGCTTCATCAATAAATGATCAATATTAGGACAGGGGACTTCGCCAGTAATTTATGCAGTTTTTACCAACTTTTGTCATTTAATTAGTCCGCGGTTATTAAAGGTGAGTCGGTTGGATGATTGTATACAGTTGGACGGCTAACGTCGGTTGGACGGCTAGTTTCTGTTGGACGACTTGAGTAAGTTGGACGGCTAGAGTAAATGGAAGCTAGAGTAAATGGACGGCTAGAGTAAGTTGGACGGCTAGAGTAAGTTGGATGGCTAGTGTAAATTGGACGGCTAGAATAAGTTGGGCGTCTAGAGTAAGTTGGACGGCTAGAGTAAATGGACGGCTAGAGTAAGTTGGACGGCTAGAGTAAGTTGGGCGTCTAGAGTAAATGGACGGTTACAGTAAGTTGGACGGCTAGAGTAAGTTAGACGGCTACAGTAAGTTGGACGGCTAGAATAAGTTGGACGGCTAGTGTAAGTTGGACGGCTAGAATAAGTTGGGCGTCTAGAGTAAGTTGGACGGCTAGTGTAAATGGACGGCTAGAGACGGTTGGACGGCTAGTGTAAGTTGGACGGCTAGAGTTGGTTGGACGGCTAGTGTCAGTTGGACGGCTAGAGTCGGTTTGACGGCAAGAATCTGTTGTATGGCTACCATTACATTTGCCATTACAGGCCGAGAGCTGTTCGATAGCTACTTCATTACAACCGCAGGGAGTGGTCAGTACTTTGGCCTGATAGTAACTAGAACGTTGCTACTTCATCTGTTGATTAATGTTTGGTAGTTATTTCCCCTCAAGATAAATGTTTGGTAGTTATCCCCCCCCCCACTATACATGTTTGGTAGTTAATTCCCCTCACGATGAATGTTTGGTAGTTATTTCCCCTCACGATAAATGTTTGGTAGTTATTTCCCCTCACGATAAATGTTTGGTAGTTATCCCCCCTCACGATAAATGTTTGGTAGTTATCCCCCCACTATAAATGTTTGGTAGTTATTTCCCCTCACGATAAATGTTTGGTAGTTATCCCCCCCCCCCACTATAAATGTTTGGTAGTTATTTCCCCTCACTATAAATGTTTGGTAGTTATATCCCTTCACTATAAATGTTTGGTAGTTATTTCCCCTCACTATAAATGTTTGGCACCTCTCCATAAATACCTGTAGTCGGTGATGGTAAAGTTAGGTAACTACTCCAGCTGATGTTAGTTACTTCCCTTGAAATTAGTTGGTCCATGAACCCTGCCTATGATTTAACTTAACTGATTAAAATAGTCTATAAAAGGGTCACTAATTTTTTTCTTTCTAGAACAAAAATAGTAACACGTGTGGGTTATTGAAATCATCCTTACCCTGTTGTGGAATTGGTTGCTACCGTGACCTCGTGACCTCCAACGGTCGAGCCTGTCCCGTGGGGCAGGTGACGTAACGATTGTTGTGAGAGACAGGTTGTCGAGGGAACATGGCGGATTTGACAAGTCTGCTGTACTTTTGTTTTCGATTTCTTTGTTTAAATCCTGCGGGTTTCAAATGTTTCGTGTCTTTCTGGTTCCGGGTTAGGAGCTTTGGGGTCGTCCATAAATGACGTCACACTTGTAGTGGGAAGGGGGGATCCGCAATTTTGTGACGGTGTATGATGAGGGGGATGGGGGGGGGGGGGGGGTGGGGGTTCAGATGGCGTGACGTCACTTTTTTGCATTATAAAAAAGCAATGTTAGAAAACGAGATTTAGCCGTTATTTCGCGTTTTAGAAAACGGTTTTAATAAATTGTAATAGGAATTGATCAAAATACTCTATGTTGACAAGAGTTCTGACCACATTTTGGAAAAATAATCGATGTTTTAAGAAAAATTCAACAGCAATTTTGAGGGGGCTTGTAGGCTGAGGTGTGACGTCATTTAAGGGGGGGGGGGTCTGGCTTTTTGTGACGACGTGTGAAGGAGGGGAGGGGGAGGTAAAAATCGTCCAAAAAGCGTGACGTCATATATGGATGAACCCTTTTGAGTTTTCTAATATTTCAACTTTTTATTATGGCTTATAAATATTTCAGCTTTTTTGGCTTCTAAATTTTCAGATTTTAGGTCAACCCATACTTCAGCCTTTTTAAGCTTTAAATATTGAACATTTTTCCAATTACATTATTTCAAATTTTTGAGTTTTTGAAAGTTTCGGCAATTTTGGCTTTAAAATATTTTAGCCTATCAGGAACTATTGTAACGTCATCTCTTATTGGTCTATCCCACGTATCAACAATTTGACGGCAAGACAAGGTTTAGCTAAACTAAAAATAGAATTGATCATCCAAATTGCTTTCCTGCCGAGAGTACTTAAAGTACATCATGTTAATAATGTAGTCACTGACCACTGGTCAGCCCCTGTCGTGTTCACTTCATTAACTGACCATCACACCAGATTGGGTTTTTTTTTTTTTTTAAACGCCGCTGGAAAAAAAATCTGGATTTTGGTTTTCGTAATAGGAGTTCGTTTATAAGTTAACGGGATAAAAGCTGAAAAAAAATTGAGGGAGATTTGTGTTTGAAGAGGTGTGCGTGTGTGTGTATGTGAGTGTGCGTGTGTATGTGTGTGTGTGGTTGGGTAGGGGTGAGGGTGGGGGATGAGTGACACAGCTGTGAGAGATACAAATGGCGGATTAATTATTGATTGGTGAGGTGGTGATGTGGCAGGATACTCCTCTTTTCACTTGACCAAATTGGCTGAGGGTGGCTACATTCCGGTGGAGCACGGTGGAGCACGGTGGAAGTGTGAGTGATTAAATCTGGTGTGAGTACTCCTCTCTGTCTGAAAACGTTGTTTTTTTTTTCTCTATCGTTTGAAAACAAAACTGTCGCTGTTGGTTTTTCTAGAAGAGGTTGTGTAGAAGGGGGGGGGGGAGAAGTATTTTTTTCCCCCAAATTTAATTTTATCGGCGTTTGTCAGATTTTATTAACTTAAAACCTAACTCTCCCGTCTTTTTGAGATCTATGAGTTGAGTCAGCCGTGAGCTGATGCCGGTTACGGCGTGATGGCTTCTTACGTCAGTCGTACGGCAGTGCCGGTCTTTAGGTCAGCCGTACGGCAGTGCCGGTTCTTAGTTTAATCGTACGACACTGCCGGTCTTTAGGTCAGTCGTAAAGGAGTGCTTGTTCTTAGTCTAGCCGTACGGCAGTGCCGGATATAAGGTTCGCTGTACGTCAGTGCCGGTTCTTAGGTCAGTCGTACGGCAGTGCCGGCTTTTAGGTCAGCCGTACGGCAGTGCCGGATATAAGGTTCGCTGTACGTCAGTGCCGGTTCTTAGGTCAGCCGTACGTCAGTGCCGGCTTTTAGGTCAGACTTGGATGATTAACATAACGAGTTTAATAACAAATACAAATCACTAGAAATGCAGAATTCCAAATTTACTACCTTTATTTTAACCTATTAACTTGCCAACAACAGGACAGATTAAAATCAACTGGAAACAGCAACGTTATAACGCTAAGCTGACACGTTTTTATATTTACCTTAGTGTTGATCCCAACAAGGCTCCCTGTTTCCTGTCGCTTTTGCTTTTGACTCAACACAATTTTAGCTGAGTGAACTCAGAGTCTGATTTAGCACTGCTTGAACTATTACCTGGTTGCTACTGACCACGAGATGTTGCCTAGCAACACAGTGAATAACTCTGAAAGCGCAGTGTGGAAATCTTCTCCAAGCATAGTGGGACAAAGTGTTTCTGTTTCATGATTTGATCTTGTGAACTCTAAAAACGAGCACTTTTGGATGAAGGAGATTTGGTTTCTCACGTCTTCACTCACCTGGCGAGCTACTTGACCGATGTTACACACCTGGTCTGTTACACACCTGGACTGTGGCACACCTGGACTGTGGCACACCTGGTCGACAACCCACCTGGTCTTTTGGAGTTCCGGTCTAACACCTGTGTGGGTTTGCTTGATTGGTTGGAGCAATGGTACGTGACTTGACCGGTGGCACTCATATATTCTGAGTCTTTACAAGCAATGTACCTGGTCTGTTATACAGGTGTTCAATAACACAACTGACCTATATCACAGCTAGTTTGTAACACACTTGACCTGTAACACACCTAGCCTTCAACACACCTTATCTGTAACACACCTGGTTTGTAACACACCTAGTCTGTGTTTTTATGTGTAGCACAGTCGTTTCGCTTTTAGAGTATTATTCTTGTTTGTATTTCTAAAATTGCAACTTTTTGTTTTTACCTATACAGGCAGGTTTCAAAGAATCTTCTGCCAGCAAGTTCCACCGCAGACGTCTCCAGGATGAATGTCTTCGAGCAAAGTTTTTTCTTGGATCAGGGCGACATTGGATGAAAACACACCCGCGGTAGTTGCAGCAGAGTTGCCCAGGAAACTATTACTACGGCCTTACTTACCACCAGTCAGATAGTGCTAAGATATCAGTGAAAAAAGTTGAAAGCCGTAATCAAGCGTTTGCTTGTCTACTGTAGCTTCTGTACCTCTATTCTGAGTTCTTTCCATCTACTAGAGTGCTTGGCTCCTTGCTGAAAGGCCTAAACAGTCTCGCTTCCATCAACCATGACGTCATACCTGACCTTCGGTATTCTCCTGGCTCTAACCCTCTTCACCCCGGCCTTGACCTCCGATCAGAACAACTGCACGTACGAGCTCGTCATGCTCAAAAACATCATCAAGGTCAAGTGCGTCGGCTCACCGTCCGTCATCAACGTCTACGCGGACAAAGCCCTCCTCCAAGGGGACGAGAGTTCGAAAACGGGCGACGACTACAAGAGACACGTGACCGCCCTGGGGAAGCTGACCGCCCCAGAGGGTGGCCGACACACACATTCCAGGCAGAGGGAGGAGATCTTCGGCCGGCAGATGTTCGACGCGGCCCTGGCCAACGTGACGCAGCAGCTGCAGTTTGCCAGGCGGAGCTTCAGCCTGTACGCCGACTCGATCCGGAACATTTCCGGCCACCTGTCGGAGGGGGACCTCAAGCTCAAGCAGGACACTGACCAGCTCAAGAGCATCACCAACTCGGCTTCAGGTCAGTCTCACAGCTCTGGTGATTGTAAAGGTGTAGCCTTGTAAAGCTGTAGCCTTGTAAACTTCCGTCCGTGTATAGCTCTCTTCGTATAAAGATATATCCATTTAAAGCTATGTCCTTGTAAATATGTATCCGTATAAAGCTCTCTCCGTCTAAAGCTCTCTCCGTCTAGAGCTCTCTCCGTCTAGAGCTCTCTCCGTCTAAAGCTCTGTATAAAGCTCTCTCCGTCTAAAGCTCTCTCCGTCTAAAGCTCTCTCCGTCTAGAGCTCTCTCCGTCTAGAGCTCTCTCCGTCTAGAGCTCTCTCCGTCTAAAGCTCTGTATAAAGCTCTCTCCGTCTAAAGCTCTCTCCGTCTAGAGCTCTCTCCGTCTAAAGCTCTGTATAAAGCTCTGTCCGTATAAAGCTCTCTCCGTATAAAGCTCTCTCCGTATAAAGCTCTCTCCGTATGAACTCTGAACCTGAGCTCTAGCCCCTACCTCTCCTACCTTCATCTCGACACTCTCATCCAGGCCCAACCTTGCCACCTCCCTCCCATATTGATATAATTTTAGAATCCACACACCTTATTTTGTTCTCCCCCCCCCCCCCTCATATCCATGAATTTATACAATTTTTCACAAGTGTGTCACGTGGTTGCCTATTCCCCGCCCCCACCATTTCGCCACCATTCCCCTAGATCACCTGACCTAATCCCACACGGACCACAGGTGTGAGATAGATAACCCTTACCTCTTTTAAGATTAGAAAAAGGTGATGTTGTTGCAAAAAAATAAATTACTTTTTTAAAAAAAAAACTCACCTATGCAACTTTTCCATGCGAACGTACAAGAAGTGGCTTTAAAATATCAGAGATCATCTCAGCTGATAAAGTGAGGCCATTCAACGAAAAAAAAACAGCTCGTGAGTTTTTCATGACTACAACATTGGCTTGTCTATCCCATATCAAACACAAGGTCATGATTTTATCAGACATGTTAAGTCTTATTTATCTTCAATACGTAAGTCCAGGGTCAATAAAAAATTATGAACAGACCTAGTCTATAATCTATATATATATAATTCTCTTCTGGGATCAGTTAGAAAACAAGCTGCAAGCGCCTCCTTGCAGTCCCCTCTCTTTCTCTCTATCACTATCACTACCACCCTCACATTGTCTGGTGAACTGTGCTCACGCTGTTTACATTTTACAATCATAGAGACGGGTTTGGTGACGGCTATTAGGGGCAGATAATTTAGTTTGAAACGATTTTAAACTTAGAGGAGGTAACCAAGAGGAGGCTGCTTTCACGTAAGGGGGGGGGGGTAGTGTTTTTACGCAAATATTTTCAGTGGCAGCATTGGTACTGTCGAATTCACACATTATAAATTACTGAAAAGTAGAAAAAAAAACAACTAAATAGCGGCGTATGATACGCAGCGGGTCGGCTCGTACTAAATATAATAGATCACGACTTACAAATAGCACGTCTGATTTATTAAATGTAAGAGTTTAGATGTGACCTTTTTTCTCCATTAAATGGCGAATTTCTGATATACAAAGTAGTCGGCGTGGTCAAGTCGGTAAAGCTCATGGTTGCTGAACCGAAAAGTCTCGCGTTCGAACTCCAGGGTAGATGAGGTTCGTTAGCTGGGGACAGCCACAATCCTTTAGGAGAGATATCTCCAAAATCAAACAACTGCTGCCTTGTAGTTTGTTCTTGTTTGGACAAAGGCTATGGAAGCAAATCTAAAAATAAAAGGCTGAAATAGTAATCAATGTCCCGTATAGCACATAACAAGTTGACACGTAATATTTATTTGCGTTGGAGGGAATCCCTTCCAACAATAAAATTAAGAACGAGCGAAGAAGAAGAAGAAGAAGAAGATGTACCAAAATATTTTTCAAATTAACTGCCGAATTTCAGATGTACCAAAATATTTTTTAAATTATTTTAATTTTAAATAAATACCGAAGTTCAGATGTACCAAAATTTATTTTTATCAATGCCTAAGTCACGTGTTATAAAAATATGTTATCAAACATGTGACATTGGAGTCCTCAACTTTTCCATAAAAGATTCCTGTCTAACCCAAGCCCAAACAAAAAATCTGGCAACGAGTTATCTAACTTTACCGGGCCATAAAAAAATACAATTTCTCGCTAGGGGTCGTTAACAATCTCACCAAGACGTCCTTGACCTTCAGAGAGGTGTCAGTGCCCTCCCTGGCCAACAGGGCAGTCCACTTGACACTGACAGCCGTTTAATTCTAAAGTTTGTGACTTCACTACTGAAGAAGCTGGACCCCCCCCCCCCTTTTTTTTCCACAACGTTTTAAAATCAAATTAAATAGAAGACCATTTTTTTTGCTGTTCATTTAAAAATGTAACGTTTAATGTAGTGGAAGTAGTTTGAATTTTATTTAGACACGATGACATATTTGCAAAATAAATTAATCGTGTTCATGAATGGAAACAACTTTATTTGAAAGGTTTCTTTCAAATGTGAATAAATTTGATATTGTTTGATTTCCATGCTACGCATCAGGTCAAGATCACCTTTAAAAAAATGTATTTTTTTAAAAATGAAGACGTGTCGCTCTATGTGGTTACTTCAACAGTCTATTTTTTTCTAAAGACTTGCTTCAAATATATATATATATATATATATATATATATATATATATATATATATATATATATATATATATATATATATATATATATATATATATATAATATATATATATATATATATATAGGCCTATATATATATATATATATGTGTGTGTGTGTGTGTTTGTGTGTATGTGTGTATGTGTGTATGTGTGTGTGTGTCTGTATGTGTTTGTGTGTGTATGTGTGTGTGTATGTGTGTGTTTGTGTTTGTGTGTTAATAGCCATTTTTTTCCCTTCCACCTACCCTTCAACCGTCTTGCAATGGATTCCACTCGCTAATTAATTAATTACACCAATTAACCTTGACCCATGTAAAAACTTTTAGACAGACACAAATGCAAAATCGTTCCATTCAGTATGTCTCGCCTCTATGTTTCTATTATACTCGACAGACCCCCCCACCCCTATAGACCCCACATCAACCCCTCCCCTCCACCCCGTCCCTCTATAGACCCCACATCAACCCCCCCCCCCCCCATGTCGGACAACACTCTACGGATTTCGAAAATTGATTTTTAAAGGCAACTGACGTGCATGTAGACAAAAAACGGTGCTCACCACGGCATGTCGGGCTCCATGCTTAAGTCGGGCTCCATGCTTGTCGTGCTCCATGCTTGTCGGGCTCCATGCTTAAGTCGGGCTCCTTGCTTAAGTCGGGCCCCATGCTTAAGTCGGGCTCCTTGCTTAAGTCGGGCTCCATGCTTATCGGGCTCCATGCTTAAGTCGTGCTCCATTGCATGTCAACAACCTGTACTTCGTGTCATTTAGAAGTGAGTTGATTTTTTTCAGAGCAAAGTCGGGTTATCTAACTTACAACAGCTCTGTCTATGCATATTTCATTATTTTTCTCAAGGGATATATATATATATATATATATATATATATATATATATATATATATATATATATATATATATATATATCCCCAAAGACCTGGGTCAACATGTAAATTTTTCCCCAAAAGTGCCCTCACGCTATCATAATGTAGATGTATGTATCGATGTCTAATAATTTCTATAGCGCATGAAACTGGCCAGTAAATCAAATATAAAAATGCTGCTAATGCATCAATTTGCTGTTATCTCATGGTTTTAAAAAAGTTAATTCAGCATCGCATTCAAACCGTTTCTCTGGCACGGGTTTCTGTGTGCTGATGTGCCCCGTTCACCAGAATGGTGTGCTGTCGGAGGTTATAAGCACCAGAGATATAAACTGTAGTACCTCGAGATACGAGTTTAATTCGCTCTGTAATATTTGCTCGTATGTCAAATTGCTCGAATCTCAAAGAAATATTCTTCTTTGAGATTAATTGAAATGCCATTAATCCATTCAGCTCCCAAAATGCCAACAGTTTTTTTATACGTGATTTTGTTAAAAAGAAAGTGTATTTATACATGGCGAATATAATTTAATAACATACAAAAGATAATGCACAGAAATAAACAGGTTTACCAAGTGTATCTACATTTAAGAGCAGCAGACTTGAGCTTACGGAAGATGGTGGTAGAGGTGTAAGCTCAGTGTAGGTTGTAGAAATTAGCCGGAGGAGCTTCACTTTGTTTACTAATTCACTGTTAATGCTTGGCTCTTTCATTCACTTTAATTAACTAACTCATTACACTCTTAACGCTATTTTTGTTATCCCTAAACTTAACGGAACTTAAACTTCACAAAATATAATAGAACCTAAATGCTACTTTATAACATTTGTAACTAAATTTTCGCTGGTCTTGTATTTTTCGCCATACTTTCCCCACTTTTCCACACAAGCTGTTAAAATAAACCTAAACAAGAAGGTTTTTTTTTTTCTCCTTTCAGAATGTTCCAGTAATTAGTTAGGTAACTGTCATTAATAGCTCCGATGTACTGTCAGTTGCAACTTTAATTTTATTTTTGTCTATGGGGTTGGTAAAGTGTTAAAAATATAGCCTCCCAATAAATCGTCTTTCAATCCGTTCATACAAAATACGATAAAAAAACGTGTATATCTATATAATGTTTGAATTTCTTCGTGATGTAACTGATAATAGCTAAAATTCTTCAAATAAATAATGTTTGAAATAATGATAAAACGATTTAGGAGTTTTCTTGTAGGTGTAGGAAAATGAATGAAAATATAGCAATTAAAAATTATATTTCGCGTGTTCATTAGCGTCAATTAACTAAACAGCACAAAAACATTAATGAGCTTAATTTGTCCAGAATATCAACAAAAATTTGACTGCCATGATGGTTTATACTCCCAGACGTGTTGCAGTAAACAACTAAAAAACGAAAAGTGTCTCAATTTTTTTTACTCTATTTTGTTAGCTTTTTTTTTTACCTATTATTTTATTTCGATTTTA